GGCCCCGCCTCCAGCCCCGCCCCAGGCCCCGCCCCTAGCACAGCCCCGCCCTGGCGCCGCCCTTGGTGCTGCCCTCAGCTGGAGCCTGCGAGGCAACCTTGCACTCTCCTCCCGTTCCTCTTCCTCCACCACTGTCCCCAGGCTTTAGGACTGTTGGGGCGCCGCCTGGCCCCACCGCGCAAGCCCCTTCGGCAGCCGCCCTGCCATGCCTGGCTGCGAGTGCGGTGGGAGGGCACCTGCCAGACCGGGCAGGCTTGGGCACCGCCCTAGGCGCAGGGCGGGGGGTGGGGGGGGAGGCGCGGGAAGGTGCAGAGGCTGCTGCTTCAGGTGGGACGTGACCCCTCCGTGTGGAGGACCTCGCGGCCAGTGGCCAATGCTCTGAGCTTCTAGACACGAGGCCGTCACAGCCCCGCAGCAGCGCTGGCCGCTGCTGGGGGTGCGGCCGGACACGGACCCGGTGGGCTTCTGGTCCCTCCCGCACCCGGGAGCCGGCGGGCGGCACACTCACGGGCGCTCATGGGCAGCGGCCTGCGGGGCGGGTGGCTCAACTTGGTGCCCACGCGTCCTCTGCTGTCCACGGGATCTGAGACCCTGCCAAGAGCAGGGCCCAGTCAGCTCCAGGGGTAAGTAACTGGCCCTCCAGCCTCGCCACGTGGGCCCCTGCAGGGGGCCAGCACCTACTTGGGGGCTGGGCTGGGTGTCCTGGGGGCGCCCCGGTCACTGAGCAGACGCGGTTCTGGGGAGGCCTTGTTCCTGGGTGCCCGCGCCGGGAGGACTTCTCGGTGCCAGGGTCGGTCAGCGCTGTCCCTTGGGGCTGCAGGCAGTGGAGCAGGGCAGGCGCGTGTGAGGCTGGGCCTGCGGCCCTGCCCTGTCCCTACCACCCGCCTGCCCCGCCCACCTGCCCTGCGCTGTCAGCACGCGCCGGGGTCCCCAGGGCCAGCCTGGGAGAGCTGCCCTGCAGGCTGGAAGCTGAGATCCGTGTCTGCCCTTGGGGCCTCTGTCCTGCCAGCCAGTGCCACCTGCTCGCTGACCCCCTGGCTTGTCTCTGCCTCAGCCCCCAGACACGCAGTCCCGCCTTCCCCAGCAGGGCTGTGCTGAGTCCGTGGGCCACGAGGGCCTCCTGCCTGGGCCTGGCCGGTCCCCTCAGATTCCCTGGCTCCCCTTCCTTGCAGGCGCTGGGGCCCCCATCCCTGTGTCCAGGTCTCCCCACGGGCCAGGCTGACTGCGCCGCCCCCTGGGGGCCTGCACCGCCAAGGCGGGTGCCTGCTGGACCCGTGGCCGGTGTTCCTGCCCGCGTCTGGGGCCACCGCCCGGGGCCACCCTTGCCCCGGGTGCTCACAGGTGATGATGTAGAGGTGTGCGGGCTCGCTGTGCAGCTGGCCGCCCGGCGCGCCCTGCACAGCGGTCACCGAGAGCTGGTAGCGCCGGCCGGGCAGCAGGTCGCGCACCGTGTAGGACGCCAGCGTCCCGCGGGGCACGTAGCGGCTCTTGGTGCTCTGGCTGGTGGTCACGTTGATGACGTAGGCCTCCAGGGGCGCGCCTGCGGCCGGGGCGTCCCACACCACGTGGGCAGAGGTGGCCGTGACGCGGGCGGCGGTCAGGTTTGCGGGTGGCAGGGGACCTGCCGAGAGCAGCGCAGTGAGGACCGATGAGGGGCGGGGCCGCGGGGCCTCTGGGGGCGGGGCCGCGGGGCGGGGCCTAGTGGGCAGGGTGGGGCCAGCACTGCTGGCCAGAGGCCCTGGGCCCACAGCTGGTGCCCCCCACCCCGCGCTCCCGCGCGCAGGTGATGAAGACGATGGGCCTGAACAACGCGGTGCACTGGGTGGCCTGGTTCA